CACAAATCAGGCTTTAACCAATACAAAAAGACTGAGATCATACCATGTACATTTTCTGACCCCAACACTATGAAACTAGAAGTCAGTCACAAGAAAAGTCTGGAAAGACCATAAATACATGGAGGTTAAATAACATGCTACTAAAAAAATGAACGGGTCAACCAGGAAATCAAAGAAGAAATTTAAAAAAATACATGGAAACAAATGAAAATGAAAACACAATGGTCCAAAACCTCTGGGATGCAGCAAAAGCAGTTGTGTTAAGAGGGAAATTTACAGCAATACAGGCCTGCCTCAAGAAGCAAGAGAAGTCTCAAATATGCAACCTAACCTTACACCTAAAGGAGCTAGAAAGAGAACAATACAACCTAAATCCAGCAGAAGGAAGGAAATAATAAATATTAGAGCAAAAATAAATGATATAGAAACTAAAAAACAATAGAACAGATCAACGAAGTCAGGAGCTGATTCTTTGAAAGAAGTAATAAAATTGATAAACCTCTAGCCAGACGTATCAAAAAGGAAAGAGAAATGACCCAAATAAATAAAATCACAAATAAGAGAGGAGAAATAACAACCAACATCACAGAAATACAAACTATCATAAAAGAATATTAAGAAAAACTATATGCCAACAAATTGGACAACCTGGAAGAAATGCGTAAATTCCTAGAAACCTATAAACTACCAAAACCAAAACAGGGAGAAATAGAAAACTTGAACAGACCGATAACCAGCAAAAAAAAAAAAAAAAAAAAAAATTGAATCGGTAATAAAATATCTCCCAATAAACAAAAATCCAGAACCAGATGACATCACAGGTCAATTCTACCAAATATTTAAAGAGTTAATACCTATTCTTCTCTAACTATTCCAAAACATAGAAAAGGAAGGGAAACTTCCAAATTCATTCTATGAGGCCAGCATTACCTGATACCAAAACAGATAAAGATTCCACTAAAAAAGAAAACTACAGGCCAATATTCCTGATGAACCTGGATGCAAAAATTCTCAATAAAATACCAGCAAACCGAATGTTTCCTGAGGCAAGGGAAACAAAAGCAAAAATAAACTATTGGGACTTCATTAAAATAAAAACTTCTGCACAGTGGAGAAAACAATCAAACTAAACTAAAAGGCAACCTATGGAATGGGAGAAGATATTTGCAAATGACATATCTGATAAAAGGTTAGTATCCAAAATATATAAAGAACTTATAAAACTCAACACCCAAAAAATTGAATAATCCAATTAAAAAATGGACAGAAGAGATGAGCAGCCACTTCTGCAAAGAAGACATCCAGATGGCCAACAGACACATGAAAAGATGCTCAAAATTACTCATCATCAGGGAAATGCAAATCAAAAGCACACTGAGAGATCACCTCACACCTGTCAGAATGGCTAAAATCAAGAACACAAGAAACACCAAATGTTGGTGAGGATGTGGAGAAAGAGGAACCCTCCCACACCATTGGTGGATATGCAAATTCCACGGTGGATATGCAAATTCCGTGGAAGACAGTATGGAGGTTCCTCAAAAAGTTTTTTTAAAAGTTAAAAATAGAAGTACCCTATGATCCAGCAACTGCACTACTGAGTATTTACCCAAAGTATACAAGAACGCTAATGCAAAGGGGTACACGCACCCCGATGTTTACAGCAGCATTACCTACAACAGCCAAATTATGAAACCAGCCCACATGTCCATCGACTGATGAATGGATAAAGAAGAAGTGGTGTATATATATGCATTGGAATGTTACTCAGCCATAAAAAAGAATAAAACCTTGCCATTTGCAAGGACATGAAAAGAACTACAAAGTATTACACTAAGCAAAATAAGTCAGTCCAAGAAAGACAAATTCTACTCATATGTGGAATGTAATAAACAAAACAAATGAGCAGATGGAAAAAGAGGGGGGGGGGCGCAAACCAAGAAACAGACTCTTAACTATAAAGAACACAGTGATGGTTACCAGAGGGGAGGTGGGTGGGGGATGAGTGAAACAGGTGATGGGGATTAAGGAGGACACTTGTCCTGATGAGCACCAGGTGAGGTATGGAAGTGCTGAATCACTACATTGTACACCTGAAACTAATATTACACTCTATGTTAACTAAGTGCAATTTAAATAAAAACTTAAAATAAATAAATAAATACAAACAAACTTTTAAAAAATGTAGTGGATTGCTATCAATGCAAGTGTTCGAACTGAGGGGAGGCAACTATATGTCAAAGCTGAGACCAAATTCCTGCTCTGGGGGAAAAGTTGTATTAGAGGATGTTTAATGTACTTCCTATTACTAAGACTTTACCGTTCTGTAATATGCAGAAATGGATGGGAGGGTATAGGAGTAAGGGTTGTTCACTGATTGCAAATCTGCAGCCCACTAACTTTCTCCATGTAAACCATTCTCTAAGGAGCCCTTAAGTGATACTGAACTCTCATCAGAGAGCATCAAATAATAGTTTCTTCTGTGAAATCAATACCTTTGGCTAGTAGACATATTTACTTTTGACTACTAATTTCCAGAGGAGTTCCCCCAAATAATAAAATCTTAGAATAAGAAATTATATTAGAATAGAAGAATAAGCTGGCTTATTCAGTCAGTGGGATACCACTCAGCAGTTAAAATGCATGAACTAGATCTCAAAAACACAATGTTGAGTGATAAAAATTTGCAAAAGGATACATACTATATATCCCCATTTATGTACATTAAAACAACCACAGAACGACATTATATATTATTTATGGATCTATCAACATAGGTAGCAAAAGCATAAAATATGCATGGGAATGGTACATCTAACTCCAAGACTGTGGTTGCTTCTGGGGAGAAAGACGGGAAAGGGATGATGATGAGTTTTAATTATATCAGTAATGTTTTATTACTTAAAAAAATAACCTACAGCACAAAGACCAAAATATCTATATCTATACTGGGCTGACAGGTGCTTATTATATTACTGTATCATTTTCTGTACATTTTTGTGTGTTTTTAAATTATACTGAACCAAAACTTCTAAAGAAATTATGTTGGAGGCTATAATGCCCAGTCCTTCTATGAGTGCAGGAATCGCCTCTCCTCTCTGGTCACTCAGCCTTTGTTCTTTTTGTTCTCCAAGTTCATTTTATCCTTATATTAAAGTAAAACATGCTTTCTGGTCAGATTCTCCTCCTTGGGCCTGGCTCTGCCCACACCCCTAGGAAAGCGATGATGATTCTATCACATTCTCGCTGCTGAAATAACTCACAGGGCTGCCCTTCTACACAGGAATAGAACTTTGAGTCTTATGGGAAATTTGTTAAAATATGCCCCATGTGGATAGTACGTCAAACTTGTACTGAGTATATTTTGCTACAAAAGACATCTTCTCAATTTGTAATATAATTCAATAGGGATAAAACAAAATGAAATGCACAGAATAATATCTTTAGTCCACTTTTAAGGAACTAATATATTCAGATATTTAAAGAACTATAAAAGTCACCTTTTACCCTCATTTACAATTTTTTTTATTTAGAATGGGGCACCTGGGTGGCTCAGTCAGTTAAGCATCCAGCTCTTGGTTCTGGCTCAGGTCACGATCTCAGGATGGTGAGATGGTGCCCTACATGGGGCTCCACCCTCGGGGGCGGGGGGGGGGGAGTCTGCTTCTCTCCTTATCCCTCTCCCTCTGCCCCTCCCTGCTCCTTGCACTCACGCACGTGCACTCTTTCTCTCTCTCTCTCTCCCTCTCGCTCTATCTCTCAAAAATAAATAAATCTTTAAAAAAATTTTTTTAATTAGAAAGATAATATTTCTCCTATAAACACCTTCATTTCCAAATTGGTTACAAAGTCTGTTTTCTTTTTTTACCATAATATAAGGGGAATTAGGTTTTGGTTTTTTGCCTGGTGGGTTAGCTCAGCGATGTCCAAATTGCCAACTGTGACCAATTATTAGGTCGTGATATCAGTGGTGGCAGCAATTTTAAAAAATGTAATACAGGGGCGCCTAAGTGGCTCAGTTGGTTAAGCGTCTGCCTTCGGCTCAGGTCATGATCCCGGGGTCCTGGGATGGAGCCCCACAGCAGGCTCCCTGCTCAATGGAGAGCCTGCTTCTCCTTCTCCCTCTGCCTGCCACTCCCCCTGCTTGTGCTCTCTCTCTCTCTCTCTCTCTCTCTCTGTCAAATAAATAAATAATCTTTTTAAAAAGTGTAATAGAATAGAAACCATTGGAACGTAATTCTCATAGAAATAATAAGCATTGTGAAGCTTTTGGTTGCGTTTTTAAAAACTCATACACACATGTACTGAGTCAGAACATAAACTGTATTTTCTACTACGAGTTGCAATAAAAAAAAAGACAAGTTTGAAAACAAGTGGATTAGATGATAGCAATTGCTTACAGAAGGCACTGTAAGCCAGGCCTCTTTAGTTTAGTCTGAAATACAAAGTGTTCACATTTGTTGGGTATGTGTGATATGAAGGCAGGAACCAAAGAAGAACCAACTAAGATCAGGCTGGGGCTCAGAATCTCTCTTTGCTGGGGACTAGTGACACAAGTAAGAAACATTCTGCTTCCTGCTTTGTCCAAATTTAAATTTTCACAGAATCGCTTTTGGAAGCTGTATTACTTCATCTATATACGTCACAGATAAAGACTGCACCGGGCTCATGTGCACAAGAAAAATCTAGCCAATTAACCTGCTGTGCTATTGTTGGCACTTTGGCAAATTGACAAAGCCCAGCAGCTTCGACCTTGATCCTCAGTAAACAAAGGTGTTTGAGTTTCCATAAGCCTGGCAAGACAGAGCAATTAGCCCGGAGAACCCAAAAGCTGAAGAAACACAATTCATGAAACCACTCCTTGTTATATCCTAAGGAGGGAATTAGTAAGATCTCCATCTCTCCTCAGAACACATACAAACTGAATGGATTGTAGTTTCTGCCCCTCTGTAATGCAATTTGCTTTTTATTTATTCTCACATACTCAACATGGAACCAACCTCGAAGAGCGTTAATCCTATTCGGGTTAAGGGCGTTCATGCCATACCCCAGATTGCCATAGACGTTACTTTTTACCAAGACGTCCTCTGTGAACAGTTTGCGAATAAGGTATCTGGCTGCCAGCTCTGGGCGAGACCTCCCTTTGGCTATATTCAGTACTGAATGTGGCAACTGTACATTTCTACCTGGATTTCCAAGATATTCTAGAAGCGAAAGAGAAAGAAGATGTCAATTTTCATGGCAGACGTTAGGTTCAAGTTTTTTTTTTTTTAAAGGCTTTAAGAGAAAGGTTGATTTTTCTGAATTTTTTAGGCTCCAGAATTCGAGAAGTTAAAAAAATTAATCCCTTAAGTTTTTAGCGTATCATGAGATAGCAGGAGAAATGAAACAAGAATCACTGCTGATGTGATTGCACATGCTCTGATTGTTCAGGAAAACGATTCAGTGTTCTGTTACCTTTCAGGACAGAATCAGTTTGAACATTATGATTAGTAACAAATTCTAAGTAATTTCAATGGTCTCTTGTCCTCTTTATAACAAAGGCTTGTTCAAAAAGAAGCAACAAGATTCTTACTGAAATATTTATAATTTTTAAGTAGGTTTTCTATTAGGTATTAAAGTCATCATTTAAGAATTAGCAAACTCAGCTATCATATTTTAGTTAACTTATTTGAACTGAAAAATAAATTTTAAACCTATTTTCATTTCTCAACTCCACAGCCTAATCATCCCCATCTCTCCTCAGTCCTAGTGATTCAAATTAACCACATTTTAAAATGCCCTATTTTATATACAATAAAGAATTCTTTGTTGGAGAAAATATGTTAGAGAAATACAGTACGATTCTTACAAGTCAATAAGCATATTTTTCATCTTGGAACATTCATCATTTAATGGGTGACCATATTAATTACTGAATCCCCCAAACCCAACATTTACCAAGAGACACTGAATTATTTAAAAGTCCACTTAGTGGGTCCAAAGACTTCACTCTAGAAGATTAACCCAGCAGTATTTATCAAGGTCAGAAAAAAAAGGTTAATACTCTTTAACCTGGTACTTTCAATTCGGAGAACCTAACTTAAGGATCCAAGGGGTGCCTGGGTGGCTCAGTTGGTTAAGTGTCCGACTCTTGATTTCAGCTCGGGTCGTGATCTCAGGGTCTTGGGACTGAGTCTCGCGTCCAGCTCCGTGCTCAGTGCAGAGTCAGCTTGTCCCTGTCCCTCTCTTCCTCCCCCTACTTGCATGTTCTCTCTCCCCGTCTCTCTTTCTCTCAAATAAATAAATGAATAAAATATTTTTTAAAAATAACAGAGTCTTGGGCGCCTGGGTGGCTCAGTTGGTTAAGCGACTGCCTTCGGCTCAGGTCATGATCCTGGAGTCCCGGGATCGAGTCCCGCATCAGGCTCCCTGCTCAGCGGGGGAGTCTGCTTCTCCCTCTGACCCTCTTCCCTCTCATGTACTCTCTCTCTCTCTCTCTCTCAAATAAATAAATAAAATCTTTAAAAAAAATAAAAATAAAAAAATAACAGAGTCTTCTAGTTCATGAACATGGGATATCTATGTATCTAGGTCTTCCTTAATTTATTTCAACAATATTTTATAGTTTTCAGAAAGCACATCTGGCACTTCTTTTGATAAATTCATCCCTAAGCATTTTAATTGAACATCAGGCTCCATGCTCAGTGGGGAGTCTGCTGGAGATTCTCTCTCTCCCTCTCCCTCTCCCCCTCTCCCCGCTCGCTCACACTCTCTCTCTCAAATAAATAAATCAATCTTAAAAAAAGAAAAGAATCTAAAATATGTACAAAGCTACACAAATGAATTTTTTGGCAGCATGATCTGTATGACTGATAATCCCCTCCCCAACAAAATCCCCCCCCGCAAAAAAAAAAAGAGGAAGGTAGTTAAATAAATTAGGGTATACTTACTCAATTGAATATTATATACCTGTTAAAAGCAATGATCATAAACAACGGAGATTCTTGATAAAAAACATACACATACCATGTTTAAAAAGAAGAGTGAATATATAGAGACCATAATGTTTTAAAACGTAAGAAAAAAACTAGAAGAAAATTAAAATATCCACAATAGTTTTTTATGGTATCTTGATTGTGGGAGCTTTCCTTCCCTGCTGAATTTTTTCCACTTTTTCAAAATAAAACGGTGTAACAGAAAATACACAAACTGGGCAGCTGCCTGGCTCCCAATTCACTTAGTTGGCCCTATCTCCTGGTTCTAGACCTGTGACTTAAGTGCTCCAAATCAGATTCTTTGTCCTAGGAATCTGAGCAGTGACGAGAGGAAACTAGACCCTAGAGCTCATGCAAGATGCAGACAGAGCCCCCACAGACCTCAGGGGACGCCAGCTGCCACAATCAGGGCTGGCGGTTTGGCTCCTGCCTTCGGCTCGGTTGGTTTGTTCTCTGCTTCTTTAAATCTAGGAGCTATTCGTCCACTGATTTTTGTTATGGTTTAATTGGGCCAGAGTTTGTTTCTATGGCATACAGCCTGAACAAAGATAGTAGTTATATTGATTTTATAATGGAAAAAATACAAAGATGCATCATTTAAATAATTTCATTTGAACGGGTTCACAGGTAATATGCTACTGAGGGTTGACAGGGGGGCAGGGGAGAGACAGAAAATAGTTTTGCCAGCTCAGATGCCACTAAACCCTAGCACACTGAGGAGGAGGCGCTGGGAAGCATGAGTGGCAGGTGGCACCGTCACCTATGGAACCCACTGCCACTTGATACTAATGAAGTAGGATGTGCCTCCAGCAGACAGCGAGCAGTGGGGGCAAAATGTTCTGAGGAATGGGATTTATTAATTCATACAAAAACTCTTCAAGGAGCACCCGCCACGTGTCAGGCACAGAGAGAGCAAGACCCCTGAATTGCTGCTGGCTCCACCAGCTGTAGCGCCTTCTCATGCCTAACGTGAGAGCTCACACGGGTTGAAGGAATCGACCGAGAGCTGCTTTCCGAAGGAAAAATAGCAGATTTAGCTTAATGTTCAAAACTATCAGTCTCAGGGGCACCTGGGGGGCGCAGTCACTTAAGTGTCCGACTCTTGGTTTCGGCTCAGGGCTGATCTCAGGGTCGTGAAATCGAGCCCTCCGTCGGGCTCCATGCTCAGCACGGAGTCTGCTGGAGATTCTCTCCCTCTGCCCCTCCCCCCTGAACGCGCGTGCTAGCGCTCTCACTCCCTCTCTCAAATAAATAATAAATCAATCTCTCTCAAATAAATAAATCTAAAAAAAAAACTATCAGTCCCAAAACTAGGTATCTGTATTTCATTAACTCATTAATATAAGAGATTAAGTTGTTTAGATTTCTCATCATGAAAAATGTCAAACATACTTGAAAGTAGAACAGTACAATGAGGCCCACAATCGCATCACCCAGATTCAACATTTATCATCAAGAGAACTTATTTTAATAACTCACCCAGTATGTCATCAGATACCACTGAATTCTCCATGGAAGGTTCTTTAATTCCTTGATGGCAAACACTGCTCTTCCACTGAAAATTCCCTTTTTCTCTTGTTCCTGAGGCAGCTGTTGGCTGAGATAACTGGGAAATGCTTTTACCGCCTTTGCCACCTCTTTCATCATTCACATCTGCAGACGCTGGAATGCCAAGACTGGTAGGGCCTTTTTTGCAGCCACCAGCTTTCTGCTGAAACACAACATGTGTCTGTACCCAAAGTCCCCTCATGAGAAAATATGGACATGCTCCATCATCTACCAGGGCCCCCCAGGTTGGTAGGGAAGCAACTATCTCTAACAAGGTCAGAAAAAGCGCACAGATATTGTGCACCATGATAGAAGAAGTAGACATGTGGCTTATTCCTCAAGCAGCCGTGATGTGCTGCCTCTTGGGAGGCCTTGGTAGCTTTAGCTAATGATAACTGCTGGCACAAAACAAGTGCTTAGTAAACGTTTCAGGAATAAACGAATAAATGAGTCTCTTCAAGATGACAACTTCGGTTTTTGGTTTTTTCTTAAATGTTCTTGTTTGTTTTCTCTTTCCCCAGTGGCTAGAGACTCTAGGGATCTCTAAAGACCCTGGGGACCTTTTTTTTTTTTTTTAAGCTGTGCTTGAGACCCACTTTCTTGGCATATTTAACCAGAATCTCTGGTGGAAGGAGTGGGAGAGCTCAGGCATTAATGACTTTCTTTAAAAGTGTCTCCCATGACTCTAATATATTCCTAGGGTTAACAACCACTACTCTAGGTTGGGGCTTCTCAAAGGGCTATGGACACACAAATCACCCGGGGGTCTTGCTAAAATGCAAATTCTGCCTCCATGAGTCTAGTGTGGAGCTCAAGACTCTGCATTTCTCACAAGCTTTCCTGCGGTGCTGCTGGTGTTGCTGGTCCGCGGACCCACTTTGAGTGGCAAGGACCCGTCCCTCTCCTAGTCAAGCACACAGCAGGTATTTGGCAGATGCCAAATTCTGACGCCTAAGCAAATATGCAAATTACCATTTTCCAGGCGGTATCATAATTTTACATTCAAATGTTTAGGGTGCAATTTTTGTAGGATATAAAAGGGAATGTGAAAAATAAGCAGATTTGGTTTCACACAGATGGTGCTTGAGCTATCACTGAAATCAAGCCGTTCACTAGGAAAACATAAGCTCAGCTACAGATATTCTTGGCAAAGTTTCCATGCACTTACTCTAGAGATGCAGGACTGGCTGGACATGGCGAGAATAACATGCGGTTTTCAGAGAGGTGGGCAGAAATGAGAAATTGTTAAGTTAAATGCTTCAACAGGAGAAGGCAGTAGACATGACTCTCTCCCCTGCTGGCCCATTCGTGTTAAAAAAAAAAAAAATCTCTAATGCACTTTCAAGACAGAATGGATGTGAGAAAAGCCAGATTCCTGTTTGCCATGGAACTATAGAAAGTATAAGGTATCGGCAGTAGCCAAACCTCACGGCCAGCATGACGTCCGCCAGGTTCTGCCGTCACTGAGGGCAGACAAGGACAGAAGCTCCTGCCTTCACTCCCGTACCACAGTCTGCTCTTCTCTGCGGTACTCAGTGAGATACTGAAAAAGATTTGCCAAACATCTCTGGAGCTGAAAACTCTTTCCTGGTATACCCCATGGCTTCAAATATACTGATTATAACACTCCATTTGATTTATTTTCTCTTTAGGATATTTGTATGGAGCATAAATGTCAAAGAGTAAAATAAATAGGCAGAGACCATACACTGCCCCTAAATTAAATAAACAAGATTTTGAGCACATGGCTTGAAGATCCTGTGTGTCATGCTCTTCACTTGGGAATTGTATACAGTATGCACTGATACAGCAGTGACCATATTTAAATAAAAAATAACTTACTGGTGTTGTTGTGGCTTCGGCACATAAACAATAGATCAGAGAATTGATATCGGCAATACAGGTTTTCCAGTCTTTTCCACATTCACGCAAATCATGGTTGGGAAAATTTGTTGCCAGATATTCTGCAAATAGCGAAAGCATTCATGAAAATTTTTTAAAAAGAAAAAAAACCCAAAGAATTGACAAGACATTTTTTTATTGAAAATACTGACATTTTCTATTTTGAATTGCTGCTCTTTTCTCTCTTTCTGAGAGTTGAGAAATTCTACTCAAAGAGGATGCTTTGCTGAATATCTCACTTCTAATGTGCAATTCCCCTATAAAACACTGACGTAGGGAGCCACTAAGGAGGTTTTCGTGCTTTTATTAAACTAAGAACAGATACTAAATTTAAATCTTAGCCGGAAAGGCTGAGAAGTGATGAGGTTATGGGACTTTTAAAAAAAAGTGTGTAACAGAAAGTCAATATTTCTGGGTGCTAATGCCATTGAATAACCCTGTGGATATATTAAAACTAAAAAGGAAACCTGTAAGCAGAAAATGGTGTTATTGCCAATATTCTTAGACCAGGGTATATTTATTTGTGCACACTACATGTCTACTATCTTCCCCAGAAGAAGCTATTCCTTCGGCCTAGAGTACCCTTCCTATTTATCTAGCTAAGGATTCCAAATCTAGCTCAAGTGTTTTGTCCCTAGTAAGCCTCCCTTAATGCCCTCAAAGTAGTTGCTCTGCTCTCTGAGCTTCTACAACATTACCGCCCTGGATTGGGATTGATCTGTTTCCCTCAAAAGTCCCTTTCTAGACTGTGAACTCCTTGAGGGCAGAAATATTTATTTGTTGTTGTAGTCTCAGTGCCCATGAGTTCTACAACCTTCATCCAAATCTCTGGAAGGCGGGAAGGCAGGAGGCCAAAATGGATTAATCATGACATTCTATTTCTGTGTTGCCAGTTAGTAGCACCGAAGTGTGTTTTATTCTCCTGCATTTTTTTTTTTTTGGCTTTTTCTTTATTTTTTAGTACCAAGCTTGGGCACTGAAGAATTGACTTAGTTCTAGCCATAAGCAGCTATAATCAATAAAGCTCGTTTTATTCCATTAGTCTATGGACAAATGGCATTCTTTACAAGTTGCTACCCATTATGTAATGTTAAATTGTAAAATCAGGGTCAGGCAGGTGAAAAACAGCTCTAAGATTTACACAGACTTGATCATTATCTCTTAAACTACCAATAACATTCATCAGATGACCAAATGATGATAAAAACAAGATTTCATAATGACTTTACATACCTCTTATTGCAGCCATTTTGTTTGGGTCTAGAGGTTGGCGGCCTTGGGAATTAAAACCTACCCAGCTGTGCATCAGAATTTCCTTGGAGAACAAAACATGAACCAAGTAGCGGGCTGCATGCCTAGGATGGCTCTTCTTTTGTGCAGTCACCAAATTAATATTAAGCACCCTGACATTCCTTCTCGGATCACCAAGATAGCCTTTTAAAACACAGGGAAAAAGTAAAATCTTTGTTTTCTCATGCAAGGCTACCATGAAAGTGCCCAAGAAAATTAAACTAATTGATTTCTAATTCACTAATTTTTCTTTTAAGATTTTATTTATCTATTTGACAGAGAGAGAGACAGCAAGAGAGGAAAAACAAGCAGGGGGAGTGGGAGAGGGAGAAGCAGGCCTCCCGCTGAGCAGGGAGCCCGATGCGGGGCTCGATCCCAGGACCCTGGGATCATGACCTGAGCTGAAGGCAGATGCTTAACAACTGAGCCACCCAGGCGCCCCCAGAGCCAGTTTTTAAATCTGTTTATAAGCCAAGTGCTCTGAACCATTAATCTGCTAATGCCTTCTATTCTTTTTGCTATTTCTTCTTTTTTAAACACAAAACTGAAATCATACTTTATATATAGTCTGCATCCTGCTTTTTCGGTTACCATTCTATTTTGAGCATTTCTCCATTTTCTTTAGTTCTTTTTCAAGTCAGCATTCCTATCTTCATGATTTTCCTGACAGGTGACGTTTATGTTGCACTTAGGTTCTAAGCATTGTGTTAAGAGCTTACAATGAATTATTCCATTTGAGCCTCACAATTCTATGAAATAGGTACCATGATTTTTGTTACTTCACAGAGAAAGAAACAAATACTTAGGTTAGAGAAGTGGCTGAAGATCACATGGTTAGTAAGACACAGAGCTGGGATTTGAACCCAGACAGTCTGACTCGGGAGCCCCTGCTCTTAACCATTATGCTTTACTGTTTCATACACCATGGATATACCAGGAGTTACTTAACTAACTCCCTATGGCTGCTTATTTGGTTGTTTCCAATTTTCCATGATTCTGTAAAGAACATTCCTGTACCAAAATTTAAATACAAATCTTTTTTATTGATTAAATCTTCAGATATTAGTGGGATTACTGAGTCAACTGGCATAAATACCTTTACGGATTTTTATTCAAATTACCTTTCAGAAAGTTTTCACCAGCGTTTACTTCTAACAACAGCATATCATAGTGCCCATTTAGTAACAAAGAGCACAATTTTTGAGGGTTTTTTTCTAGTTTGCCTAACAAAACAATTTAAAAGAAAAGCATCTCCTCTAGGACAGGAGTCAGCAAACTACGGTCCCCAGGCCAATCCCAACACCAGTCTGTGTAAAGCGAGTTACCCTGGCACACAGCCACACCCATCCATCTACCTACATCTGGGGCTGCTTTCATGTGACAGCAGCAGAGCGGAGTAGTTGTGACAGACACCAGATGGCCCACAGAGCCCAAAATAGTTCCTATCTAGCCCTTTACTGAAAAAGTTTGCTGAGCCCTGTGCTAGAATATTAATAAGAGAATAGCTACTTAGAAGTAGAGACACAAAGGAACCATAAAATATTGGGAAGGTTTGCCCTTAGAAACCACGGAACTTAGGGTCCCCTCCTCTCTGCTACTGTGGCTTGGCAGGCAATACAGGAGGCTGTGAAAAAACATGAGCTTTAAGTCAGAGAGGACCGAGTGTTCCAGAACTGCCACTCACCCGCTCTGTGACTTTGAGAATGGGAGTAATAAAAATACCTACTTATGGAGTCATTTGAATGTTAATAGAGAAGCGACATGTCAGTTGATTAGCACAGTGCCTTGTACATAACACTCAATAAATATTACCCATTATGATTAAGATAACCTAAAACCAACCCTTAAAATAGGAAACAAAAAGCTTCCATTAGCCTGTATCAAGGATGGTGAAGAATATCGGTTAAATGGCACTACTTGTAGTATGTGTCATTTCACACTCACCAAAACCGGAAGGGATGCAGGAAGATGATGAGACAGAATCTTGGCTCTTGTCCTTTTCCAATACAGCTGGGTAATTCATTATTTCAGGGACGTTTTCCACGCTGTTTTCTGCTTTTACCAATATTTCTACAGGTAAAAGTGCTGAAAGAAAAGGAACCTCAACTGCAAATTCACTACCCAGCAAACTATCATTCAGGTGTGAAAGGGAAACAAACACATTCTCAAAGAAAACTAATGTTTGTCACTAGCAGACCTACTCTTAAAGAGTGGCTAAAGGAAGATCATCAAACAGAAAGGTTATGATGACAGAAAGAATCCTGGAGCATCAGGAAGGAAAAGAGAACAACAGAAATAGCAGAAGTATGCATGAAGAGAAACTTGATCATTCATTCAGTGTAAAATCGAACAGCTACGTTGGAAAACAGTATGGCAGCTTCTTATAAAACTAAATCTTCAATTATCACATGACACAGCAATTTCACTCTTGGACATTTATCCCAGAGAAATAAAAGCTCATGATATGACACAAAAGCCTGCACATGAGTGTTCTTAGCTTTATTCATAATAGCCAAAACCACAAACAACGCAGATGTCCTTCAACAGATGAATGGTTAAACAAACGGTGGTAAATCCAATACCATAGAATACCATTCAATAATAAAAAGAAATAAAGAACAGAAGAGGCAGAAATATGGATGAATATAATACAATCATGAGTTTTATAAATCATCCATGATGACGGAAACGAAAATGAAAACACCATCTGACATCCAAGACAGTAAGTTAAAAGTGAGGAGGGCAAAGGAAACTAAGTGGAATTAAAATTTCAACACTTCATTCCAAGTGGTAAAATGCTGATACCAGTAGACTGTGGTAAGTCACATACATAAATAATAACATCCAGAGCAACCACCAGGAAAATTATATATAGCAATATATTCCTAAATAAAGCAATATATTCAAAAACATAAATAAAGATGGAACACCAGAAAATGTTCAGGTAACCCACAGGAAGGCAAAAAAAGATAAACAAAAAAAGAATGAGAGGGGCATCTGGCCGGCCCAGTCAGTAGGTCATGCTGCTCTTGGTCTCGGGGTCATGAGTTCAAGCCCCACATTGGGAGTAGAGATTACTTTAAAAAATTAATTTAATAAACTTTAAAAAAAGTAATGAGAATAGGAAACAAAAAGAAATATAATAAAACGGGAGACTTAGGTCTATGATATCAATAATTATCTTAAATGTAGTTAACCTAACCATATCAATTAAATGGCAGCAAGTGATAATGTAGATAAAAAAAGATCAACTAGGTGGTGTTTACAAGAAACTCTACAAATTCAATTACATAGGTAGCTTGAAAGTAAAAGGATGGGAAAGCATATACCATGCAAACATTAGTCCAGAAAAAAGCAGAGTAGTTGTGTTTACATCAGATAAAGCAGATTTCAGAGCACAGAAATTTACTACAAACAAATAAAAATGAAAAGATCAACCCCGAGGAAGACAATGATTCTCAACATACCAAACGACAAATCCTCAAAATACATGAAGCAAAACCTGAAAGAGCTGAAAGGAGAAATAATCAAATCCATAATTAAAGTTGAGGATCTCACATTCCCCCCTCTATCAGCAACCGGTGGAACAACCAGACCAAAAATCAACAAGGATACAGAAGATCTGAACAACACACTCAACCAACAAGATCCTCATTATAGAACGTTCCACCCAACAAAAAGAGAATACCTATTTTTTTCAAATGCCAAGGGAGCGAATGTGTCCTCCTTGCCAGGTACTATGTGCAAAGTTCAAATGCCTATGGATGGTTCACCAAGACAAACCACATCCTAGACCAGAGGAAAAAAATCTCAACAAATTTAAAAGAAAAGGTATCATACAGAGTATATTTTCTGACCATAACAATCAAATTAGAAATCAATAATAGAAAGACAATAGAAAGTTTCCAAAGAAGTAATAAAATACCTAGGACTTAATGAAAATACAACACATCAAAATATAACTAAGGCAGTATTGAAAGTGAAATCTACAGCACTAAATTCTTGTATTAGAAAAGAGGACAGTTCTGAATCTATAATCTAAATTCCTACACCAAAAACTAAGAAAAGAAAAAGCAAAATAAACCTCAAATAAGCAAAAAGAATGAAATAATAAAGAGCAGAAATCAATGAAATGGAAAATATGACAACAACAGGAAATCAGTGAAACAAAAAGCTGGTGCCTCAAAAAGATTAATAAAGCTAATAAAGCTCTAAAAAGAATGACAAAAGGAAAAAGATGACACAAATCATCGATATCAGGAATGAAACAAGTTATCCATCACCCATCAAAAGGATAATAGGGAATACAACAAACCACTTTACATTCATAAATTTGATAACTTAGAAGAGTTGAATCAATTCCGCCAAAGTTACATAGACCAAAACTCAACCAAGATGACATAAATTTCTAAATAGTCCTATAACCATCAAAAGACATTAAATTTGCAATTAAAAGCCTTCAGAAAAGGAATCTACAGGCCCAGATGATTTTACTAGAGATTTTTTACCAAACATTTAAAAAATTAACACCAATTTCTCATATACTCTTCCATAAAATGGTATACAATTATAAAGGAGGAGAGAACACATTAGCCCTTGAATGGGTTAGAGATGAAGCCAGGGAAGGAATGACATATGACATGGTTATAAACAGGCAACGAGGGGGTTCCTGGAAGTAAAGGGACAGTTCTGTATCATGACTATGCTGGTGAACAGCTGAACGCAAACATGTTACAAATGTGCAGAGCTCTAAACACACACGCACACATACAAATGAATACAACTAAAGCTGGGGACATATGAATAGATGTGTAGATTGTACTGATGTCAAAATCCTAGTTGTGATATTTTACTCTATTTTTGCAAAAGATTAGCCTTGGGAGAAATTTGGTTAAGGGTACACCAGATCTCTCTGTATTAACTTCATGCACTACATGTGATTCTGAAATATCTCCAAATGAAAAATCTAATTTTGAAAAAACTATCACTAAAAATTCATATTAAGAATGTTGATGAACCTAAATTAGAGAGTGCTACTTATAATATGTATCATTTCAAACTCACCAAAACCAGGAGCGAGAAAGTAAGTTTCTGAGTCAGTATCTTGGTCGCTGTCATGTTTCATTAAAGTTGGGGAACTCATTGTCTCGGAACTCACTTCTACGCTGGATTCTGTTTGAAAAACATTTTGATCAGGAAAACATTTTTAAGTGCTGCAAGACAAGAAATCTCAACAGTGATTTTTCCATCAGGTGAAACTATCTTCTAAGAATGAAGCAGAAATAGAGGGGCAGAGCAAGATGGCGGAGGTGTAGGAGAACTGGATTTTGTCTGGTCCCGGGAATTCAGCTGGATAGGGATCAAATCATTCTGAACACCCACAAACTCAACAGGAGATCGAAGAAAAGAATAGCAACAACTCTCTGAACAGAAAAGCGACCACTTTCTGGAAGGTAGGACGTGCAGGGGAGGGGGCCTCCATCGGCTGCTCCTGGCAAGTGATAGAGCAGCGGAACACAAAATCAGAACTTTTAAGAAATCTGATCTGCTGAGGGAGGTTGCTCCAGTGGCTAATTGCGGGGTGGAACCCTCACGGGGAGAGTGTGGTCTCAGGACCCTCGGGGTCACAGAAAGACAGGGGGTGCCTGAGTGCGGCAGAGCTCCCAGGTATCGGAGCAGGGAAGCCGGCTGCAGAGAGGAGCCGAGGAGTGGGCTCTAAGCTCGGGGTTGCCATAAACTGTGATCCCCGGCACAGTCGGGCCACTGCTCCTCCAGCAGGGACCCAACAAGCGGCAGATCCGGGGAGACTCCCTTCCTCCCCGGGGAGGAGCGGTGCGGGAGCACACCGCAGGGATCTGCTGGGCTTGGAGACTCCACACGGATAGGGTGCCAGAGATAGAAATGCTGGGACACAGACCAGGTGAGAACGGAGTGCTGCCGGAGACCGGGGACACGGGAGTGATCAACTGCTTTTCTCTGGGGGCGCATTGAGGAGTAGGGCCCCGAGTTCTTGGCTCCTCCGGGGCGGAGATTGGGAGGCCGCCATTTTCACTCTTGTCCTCCAAAGCTATACTGAGGGGTGCCTGGGTGGCTCAGTCCTTGAGCGTCTGCCTTCAGCTCGGGTCATGATCCCAGGGTCCTGGGATCGAGCCCCGCATCGGGCTCCCTGCTCCATGTGAAGCCTGCTTCTCCCTCTACCACTCCCTCTGCTTGTGTTCCCTCTCTCGCTATGTCTCTGTCAAATAAATAAAATCTTAAAAAAAAAAAAAAAAACCTGTACGGAAAGCTTGCAAGGAACAAAAGCTCCCGAGAGCAAAACTGAGCGGATTACTGAGCCCGGACAGCAAGGGCGGGGCAATTCCGCCTCCGGCAAAGACATTTGGGAACCACAGCAACAGGCCCCTCCCCCAGGAGATCAGCAAGAACAGCCAGCCAAGACCAAGTTTACCGATCAATGAGAACGGCCGAACTCCAGCACTAGGGGAATACTGCACATAGAATTCATAGCTTTTTTACCATGGTTCTTTAGTCTTTCAAAGTTATTTTTTTAACTGTCTTTTCTTTTTTTTTTTGAATTTTAATTTTTTCCTTTTTCAACCAACATCTTATCAATCCCTTTTTTAAAAAACTATTTTTTAATTTTCATTTTTAGAGTCATATTCTATCCCGTCATAGTAGTTACCATTATTTTTGGTATATATATATATAAGTTCTTCTCTCCTTAAAATTTTGAGATACAGTTTCTTCTAACAGATCAAAATATACCCTAAATCCCTAGTGTATGGCTTTGTTCTAGTCTACTGCCTGATCACATTCTCTCCCATTTTTTTTTAAATCCTCTTCTTTCTTTTTTCAACCAACTTCTTATCTTATCAATTCCTTTTATAAAATCTTTTATAATTTTCATCTTTACATCATATTCCATCCCTTCACCATATTAACCCTTATTTTTGTACATATATAAGTTTTTCTTTCATTAAAATTTTGGGAGGCACTTTCTAACAAACCAAAATACGCCCAAAATCTAGTGTGTTGCACTGATCTATGCCTCAGCCTGATCATATTTGATCATATTCTGTTATTTCTGTTTTGTTTTTGTTTGTTTTACCTTTTTCTTTTTCTTTTTTTTTTCTTTTTCTTTTTTCTCTCTTTCCCTTTCTTTTCCCCCGGTTTCAGATCCCATCTGATTTGTTTAGTATATATTTTCTGGGGACATTGTTAACCTGTTAGCATTTTGTTCTCTCATCTATTCTCCTCTGGACAAAATGACAACACGGAAAAAATCACCTCAACAAAAAGAACAAGAAGCAGTACTGACTGCCACGGACCTAATCAATATGGACATTAGTAAGATGTTGGAACTAGAGTTCAGAATGATGATTTTAAAAATACTACCTGGGCTTGAAAAAGCATGGAATATATTAGAGAAACCCTTTCTGGAGAAATAAAAGAACTAAAATCTAAACAAGTTGAAATCAAAAAGACTATTAATGAGGTGCAATCAAAAATGGAGGCTCTGACTGCTACGATAAATGAGGTAGAAGAGAGAATTAGTGATATAGAAGACCAAATGATGGAAAATAAAGAAGCTGAGAAAAAGAGAGATAAACAACTACAGGATCACGAGGGCAGAATTCAAGAGATAAGCGATACGATAAGGTGAAACAACATTAGAATAATTGGGATCCCAGAAGAAGAAGAAAGAGAGAGAGGGGCAGAAGGTATATTGGAACAAATTATAGCAGAGAACTTCCCTAATGTGGGGAAGGAAACAGGCATCAAAATCCAGGAGGCACAGAGAACCTCTCTCAAAATCAATAAAAATAGGTCAACACCCCAACATCTAATAGTAAAGCTTACGAGTTTCAGAGAGAAAGAGAAAATCCTGAAAGCAGCTCAGGAGAAGAGATCTGTAACCTACAATGGTAGAAACATTAGACTGGCAACAGACCTATCCACAGAGACCTGGCAGGCCAGAAAGGACAGGCATGATATATTCAGAGCACTAAATGAGAAAAATATGCAGCCAAGAATACTATAGCCAGCTAGGCTGTCATTGAAAATAGAAGGAGAGATAAAAAGCTTCCAGGACAAACAAAAACTAAAGGAATTTGCAAACACGAAACCAGCCCTACAAGAAATATTGAAAGGGGTCCTCTAAGCAAAGAGAGAGCCTAAAAGTAACAGACCAGAAAAGAACACAGACAATATACAGTAACAGTCACCTTACAGGCAATACAATGGCACTAAATTCATACCTTTCAATAGTTACCCTGAATGTAAATGGGCTAAATGCCCCAATCAAAAGACACAGGCTGTCAGACTGGATAAAAAAACAAGACCCATCGACATGCTGTCTGCAAGAGACTCATTTTAGACCCAAAGACACCCCCACATTGAAAGTCAGGGGGTGGAAAACCATTTACCATGCTAATGGACACCAAAAGAAAGCTGGGGTGGCAATCCTTCTATCAGACAAATTAGATTTTAAACCAAAGACTGTAATAAGAGATGAGGAAGGACACTATATCATACTTAAAGGGTCTGCCCAACAAGAATATCTAACAATTGTAAATATCTATGCCCCTAACATGGGAGGGCCAATTATATAAGCCAATTAATAACAAAGCAAAGAAACACATCGACAACAATACAATAATAGTAGGGGACTTTAACACCCCCCTCACTGAAATGGACAGATCATCTAAGCAAAAGATCAACAAGGAAATAAAGACTTTAAATGAGACACTGGACCAAATGGACTTCGCAGATATATTCAGAACATTCCATCCCAAAGCAACAGAATACACATTCTTCTCTAGGGCCCATGGAACATTCTCCAGAATTGATCACATCCTAGTTCACAAATCAGGTCTCAACCAGTACCAAAAGATTGGGATCATTCCCTGCATATTTTCAGACCACAGTGCTTTGAAACTAGAACTCAATCACAAGAGGAAAGTCGGAAAGAACTCAAATACATGGAGGCTAAAGAGCATCCTACAAAAGAATGAACGGGTCAACCAGGAAATTAAAGAAGAATTTCATGGAAACAAATGAAAATGAAAACACAACTGTTCAAAAACTTTGGGATACAGCAAAGGCCAGCCCTAAGAGGAAAGTATATAGCAATACAAGCCCTTCTCAAGAAACAAGAAAGGTCTCAAACCCAAACCTAACCCTACACCTAAAGGAGCTGGAGAAAGAACAGCAAATAAAGCCTAAACCCAACAGGAGAAGAGAAATAATAAAGATCAGAGCAGAAATCATTGAAATAGAAACCAAAAGAACAATAGTACAGATCAATGAAACTAGGAGGTGGTTCTTTGAAAGAATTAACAAGATTGATAAACCCCTGGCCAGACTTATCAAAAAGAAAAGAGAAATGACCCAAATCAACAAAATCATGAATGAAAGAGGAGAGATCACAACCAACACCAAAGAAATACAAACAATTATAAGAACATATTATGAGCAACTATATGTCAGCAGATTAGATCATCTGAAAGAAATGGATGCATTCCTAGAGATGTATCAACTACCAAAACTGAACCAGGAAGAAATAGAAAACCTGAACAGGCCTATAACCACTAAGGAAATGGAACCAGTCCTCAAAAATCTCCCAACAAATAAGAGCCCAGGGCCAGATGGCTTCCCAGGGGAATTCTACCAAACATTTAAAGAAGAATTAATACCTATTCCTCTGAAACTGTTCCAAAAAATAGAAATGGAAGGAAAACTTCCAAACTCATTTTATGAGGCCAGCATTACCTTGATCCCAACACCAGACAAAGACCCCATCAAAAAGGACAATTACAGACCAATATCCTTGATGAACCTGGATGCAAAAATTCTCACCAAAATACTAGCCAATAGGATCCAACAGTACATTAAAAGGATTATTCACCACGACCAAGTGGGATTTATCCCTGGGCTGCAAGGTTGGTTCAACGTGTGCAAATCAATCAATGTGATACAATACATTAATAAAAAAAAGAACAAGAACCATATGGTCCTCTCAATAGATGCAGAAAAAGCATTTGACAAAGTACAGCATCCTTTCTTGATCAAAACTCTTCAGAGTATAGGGATAGAGGGTACATACCTCAATACCATAAAACCATCTATGAAAAACCCACAGCGAATATCATTCTCAATAGGGAAAAACTGAGAGCTTTTCCCCTAAGGTCAGGAACGCGGCAGGGATGTCCACTCTCACCACTGCTATTCAACATAGTATTAGAAGTCCTAGCCATAGCAATCAGACAACAAAAAGAAATCAAAGGCATCCGGATCGGCAAAGAAGTCAAACTCTCACTCTTTGCAGATGATATGATACTTTATGTGGAAAACCCAAAAGACTCCACCCCAAAACTGCTAGAACTCATCCAGGAATTCAGTAAATTGGCAGGATATGAAATCAATGCACAGAAATCAGTGGCATTCCTATACACCAACAACAAGACAGAAGAAAGAGAAATTAAGGAGTTGATCTCATTTAAAATTGCACCCAAAACCATAAGATACCTAGGAATAAATCTAACCAAAGAGGCAAAGAATCTGTGCTCCGAAAACTATAAAATACTCATGAAAGAAATTGAGGAAGACACAAAGAAATGGAAAAACGTTCCATGCTCTTAGATTGGAAGAATAAATATTGTGAAGATGTCAATGCTACCTAGAGCAATCTACACATTCAATGCAATCCCCATCAAAATACCATCCACTTTTTTCAAAGAAATGGAACAAATAATCCTAAAATTTGTATGGAACCAGAAAAGACCCCGAATAGCCAGAGGAATGTTAAAAAAGAAAAGCAAAGCTGGCGGCATCACAATTCCGGACTTCAAGCTCTATTACAAAATTGTCATCATCAAGACAGTATGGTCCTGGCACAAGAACAGACACACAGAGCAATGGAACAGAATCGAGAGCCCAGAAATGGACCCTCAACTCTATGGTCAACTAATCTTCGACAAAGCAGGAAAGAATGTCCAATGGCAAAAAGACAGTCTCTTCAACAAATGGTGTTGGGAAAACTGGACAGCCACATGCAGAAGAATGAGACTGGACCATTTCCTTACACCACACACAAAAATAGACTCCAAATGGATGAAAGACCTAAATGTGAGACAAGATCCATCAAAATCCTAAAGGAGAACACAGGCAGCAACCTCTTCGACCTCAGCCGCAGCAACTTCTTCCTAGGAACATCGCCAAAGGCAAGGGAAGCAAGGGCAAAAATGAACTATTGGGATTTCATCAAGATAAAAAGCTTTTGCACAGTAAAAGAAACAGTCCACAAAACCAAAAGACAGCTAAAAGAATGGGAAAAGATATTTGCAAATGACATATCAGATAAAGGGCTAGTATCCAATATCTATAAAGAACTTATCAAACTCAACACCCAAGGAACAAATGATCCAATCAAGAAATGGGCAGAAGACATGAATAGACATTTCTGCAAAAACGACATTCAAATGGCCAACAGACACATGAAAAAGTGCTCCACATTGCTCGGCATCAGGGAAATCCAAATCAAAACCTCGATGTGATATCACCTCACACCAGTCAGAATGGCTAAAATTAACAAGTCAGGAAACAACAGATGTTGGCGGGGATGTGGAGAAAGGGGAACCCTCCTACACTGTTGGTGGGAGTGCAAGCTGGTGCAGCCCCTCTGGAAAACAGTATGGAGGTTCTTCAAAAAGTTGAAAATAGAGCTACCCTACGATCCAGCAATTGCACTACTGGGCATTTACCCCAAAGATACAAATGTAGGGATCCGAAGGAATACGTGCACCCCGATGTTTATCACAGCAATGCCCACAATAGCCAAACTGTGAAAGAGCCAAGATGTCCATCGACAGATGAATGGATAAAGAAGATGTGGTGTATATATATATA